AAATAGGTCGAAAATACCGAAAAAATAGGAAAAACGCGTAAATCCCGTATTGGTCGCGCCCAGGGTCACACGACTCGTGTCATGAGCCACACGAGTCGTGTGACAAAGTCGAAAGCTCCCGTTACGACCCGTCGGAACGACACGAGTCGTGTCTCAAGCTCACACGACCCGTGTTGGCCTGTGCGTCCAAAACAGCGTAAAATCCAATCCTCTGTGCAGCGCACGGCTCCTGGTCGGTTTTCCGGCGTTCCATGTGACTCTCAGAGGTCGGACGGTGATCAGGCCGTCGCTATGGCGAGTTCCAACCACTTTCGAGCATTCCGGCGACATCATTTCCTTGGCAGCGGCATGACTCTGTTCCGGCGTTTCGATAGCATTCCTGTGGTCATGACGTCGGACATTGACGGCGCTCCAGCTGGTTGTCATCGGAGCTCCAGTGGAGAGCTTTGTCGCGCAGCTCCTCAAAAATGGCGATGGACATGCTGGTACGTGCAAATGGTTTGGGGAAGATGATGACTTGCAGCAAAAAGACCATTCTACCCTTACTTAAATGGTTTGATTGGGCTAAATTGTTTGGACATTATTTGGGCTGCCATTTCATCTTCATGGCTTCTTCCTTGGCCCAACAACTAAGAAAGCAGATTTCCTTTGGGCCCGTTTCAACCTACAACTCGCACATTGTGTTCAACCGTGTGTCACTGTTTTCGACTCCAAAAATTAATTCGACCCTCTTTCCTGTTAAAACTCAAAATAAAATACTTCATCATAGCTTAATAAAATTAATTAAATATATAATTAATTATATAATAATTAATTAAATAGTAACTAATTATATATCAAACTATGACGAAACGGACACGTAAATCACTATAAAATGCACGTAAATATGACGCATGTCACTCAATATGTGTCTTCTTTATCACAACGTGGAAGAAGTACTCGACAGGCCTTTGTTTTTGCCATAAATGAGCACTTTGAAATGGAATTGTCCTGTGCATTCAAATACGAAGAAGCATCTAAATTTTATCTTTTGTGTATGCACAAAATGACTTCAACCCTCTTTTGCTAGGGACTTTACACGTGGCATTTATTACGACGATAATGGCCATGTACTTACCCTCATTTTAAACATTGTTATTAAATTTAAGCAAATCAAGTTTATATTAAATAAATTTTGACAAAGTTTGTCTTCATAAAATGTCTGAATAAGGCTATAATTCTGGCACAATTAGATAGCCAATTAAGCAATATATATGTTGAATGTGGTGTGCGGTGTAATTATATGCATATTGATAGATTTTCCTCATAAATGATCTCTGTCATTAAGAATTACAAACACATTAGCACATTAATTTCATTCAGCAATGTAGATAATTTCATTCAACTTAATCAAGCAATAAGATCATATAGGCAAGATGGATAATTTCATTCAGCAAAAGATTAGTTGTTCACCATGTGCTAAATCAAGCATCACATAAGATGAAAGTAAATCCAGAATTGTAATTTGAAGTGTGAACAATATCAAAATTTATTTTATAAAAAAGCAATAAAACCATATACTCAATGGGGACCATTCTGCCCATAAGGTGGAACAAGGAGCTGTATATATTTATAATTATAATTTGTGGACATAAAAGGAAATAGGAACCACAGAAAGACACAACTTAGAAATCAAAATGTTGCTTCTCACTTCGTTATCTGCTTTTCCGTACAAGTTGCTTCAAAATCATAAAACTGTTGGTGCATCTATAGTATACACAGACAATTCCCTAAGGCAATCAACGCAAATCATAAAAACAGAAAGTTCAGATTCACCAAACTAAAAATTGATTGGAGTTCGGAACTGCGAAGCAACAACTAACAAAAGATGAGAACAAAAGTTCCGTTTTCATTCTTAGTATTATGTTACACCAGCATTAACAGTGTCAGTGTCAGATGAAAAAATGATAAAAAATAATAATAATAATAATAATAATAATAATAATAAATAAAACGAAAACAGCAGGGCAGTAGAGTTTACCTTAAGAAAAGAAACAACGAACTTAAGCTTAAACAGATGTCAATTCGGTGGTTGTTGGTGTGCTTGCAGAAGTACTGGAGCTGGTCGAGCGGGGATGCCGGTAGGGGGGTCGATTAAAATCTCTCACGAAGAGGCGGAGAGAAGAGGAGTATCGGAGGTACTGGCGGCAAAGGTCAATTTTCACAGAAGAGGAGAGAAGCAGAAGCGGAGGTTGATTCACACAGAAGATCCAGACAGTAGAAGAGCATCAGGAAGACGACAGCTAAGATCGATAAAAAATCACGCACAGAGAGCCAAAGAGAAGAGGAGGATTGGAGGTGGCGGCGCAAGAAGTCCTTCGGAAATGAGAGGAGCGAGTGCGTGAAAATGAATAAGCGAAACGTGAACATTTAGGTAGGTGAGGGCTGATAGGGTTTGGTGATAGACCACAGTCATAACTCATTAAATATTTGCATTTTGGTTTACACCTGTCGCGATTGAATTTAACAGATTAGATGTTTTCTAGGCAGGAAAAGAACTAAAAGTAAGAAAAATAATCGTTTCACGTGATATAATTTGAAACTTACTGAAGCACGCCATGTTGGGACCTTCGACTCAAACCGTTCTTCATCTTCTTGGAACCCATTCATCCCGTTGTATGTCCTACAAACCAGATAAAGTGAAAAGAAAATGGTTCGATAAGCATTCGCGCCAAGAAATTCCAGAAAAATCGATGTTAAAATTAACGGTCTGAAACTATCCACATGCCCCTTATCAGATCATACTCATCATGACCATTAAAGGTTTCTGCATAAATTCATGAAGCAAGCCACAAGGTAAAAAATCCATAATATTATTTTTTTTTTCTAAAACATTAAAATTTTCATAAATCTTATATCAAGAGGCAACAAATTAAACCTTGTGACATATTTTTCATCTCGGTTTGTGTCTAAAATTCTCTTTGGCCCCACGTAATCGCCTCATCTACTCCGTTGGATTTATATGCACTACCACCTCTGTTGTTGGAATAAATCTCGATAATATAGGAGTTCATGTAATCATCTTCATACCCCTCAAAATAAAAAATCCATCCTTTATTTTTACCTCCCCATCTGAAGTAATGCTTACCGAAGAAACTGCCGACAATTCGTCGGCTTAAACCGAAAGTGTAGCCTTTAAAGCTGTCAGTGTCGGTGTCGTAAACTGGCTAAGCGACTGCAAATGGCGGCGTCATAGACTGTTGTTTTTCGGGTTCATATTCATTATTCTTGAAGCCCACCTGGACCTCACACATTTATTGGTCTGTTAAAAACAATGCACCAGCAAATTAGATATAATCATTACAAAACCATGCGGATGACTACCAGAGAAAAAATCAAATACTTGAGTAACTTGTATTTTTTTTTTTT